GAGTGAGAGAGAGCAGACCCATTATTTTCTGTAGTCAATATCATTATTGTGGTTCTGGTTTAATGGTGATTTCCTGCTAGACATTTTGAGGCAATAAGCATGAACAATGGACATATAAATAAACAGATGGGAAGCCAATGAGGGCAGAAGAATTATTGGAAAATAAACAAGATTAACGTGTACAGGAGCAAAATAAAAAGGATGTAAATTAAAATATGCTACGCATAGTATGTTGATCGTAAATTATATTAAAAGAAACCCTCAAAAGCTGACATGTTCAGCCTTACATGACCACAAATAAATATTTAAAGGAGTAGTTGTCTTTAAAAAAAACTTTTGCTGATAATTTACTCACCCCGTGTCATCCAAGATATCCATGTCTATCCTGTTCGAACTTGTTTATCAAAATGAACGAATCTTTTTTCCTGTCATTTGGTTCATTCAATGAATGAAATGAACGAATTGACTCGGGAAAAGATTTGTTCATTTTGATGAACGAGTTCGAAAAGGAGAGTCACAAACGCGCATCACAGAACAGAGGTGACCATTTGAGCTTATAAAACTTAAACTTTGTGTTTTTTTTTAAATGAGCGATCGTTTCGCTTGATAAGACCTGTATTCATCGTCTGGAATCGTTTAAAGCCCTTTGAACAGTTTGCAATTTGCAATGAAAAGTGTCTTTTGGACCTTGAACCGTTTGGTTACCAGTAAAGTGCATTATATGGAGAAAAATCCTGGAATGTTTTCATCAAAAACCTTCATTTCTTTTCGACTGAAGAAAGAAAGTCATGGACATCTTGGATGACATGGGGGTGATTAAATTATCAGCAAAAGATTTTTTTAAAAGTGAACTACTCCTTTAGGAGTGCATTTTCCTCACATTTCAAATGCGAGCCCTGTCTGATTATTCAGTCTGGTTTGCATTGCGTGACAGACTCTGTATTCTTTATCCATGCATGTAACATACAGTATGTGAGAGAATCATTCCGTGCTACATGATGCTTATTAGAGATGCTGACTGAGTTAAATGACTTCCTTTAAACCACTGCAGTCTTGTTAGTCTGAAGATGTGTACTTCTCTGACTGTTTATATTTAACATGGCTTCCAGATCTGGGATGTTTAGTGTCAAAAGCAGCGTGTTTATTGGGTTTGTCCTTAAGTAGCTTTGTGCGCATCCGTGTGTGTTTGTGTGTCTGTCTGTGTTGTGGGTCATTGGTTTTGACCTACTGGTGTGTAAGCCTCCAGTCAGTTAATAGACTCAAATCATAGCTGACACACATGTGGACCAGCTTGCCAGCTTGTGTGTGCATAGACAGATATATTCCATCTCACCTGAGTTAACCTTTAGTCGCATTATACTGTGCGTTCTTTGCATCTTTGGATTCTATCATCTTTATTTTTTTGTGGAGAAATTTTTTTACCTGCAGCATACTGTATATTTTTTTTCTGTTCTCAACCCAGGGGTGGCCTTCTCCTACCCAGCCCGTCCCACGCTCTCGAACAGTCTGCTTTGATATCTACATAAAACAAAATGATATCTTTATTGTGGGTATTCAAAGCAACACATCATTGACCGTAATGTTCTGAGGCCAGCTCAGAGACAGAAAAATATATATTCGATGACTCTGCATGATGACCTCTGTTGGTTAAGGAAATATAAAAGTCAATATTTGCAAGCCTGTTATGATGACTTAAATTTCCTGCATGGAAAGTCAAAATGCTCTAATGTGTGTATGATGGTGATGGATAAAAACACTGAAACCAATGCATTGCTGTGTTGTTTGTTTGAGAAAAGGCATGTTACTTAAACATAGGCATGTGATATAAAAATTCTGGCCAAAACAGATAAGCCATGGATGATATTATAAATCTATACAGCTTCGTAAAAAGAAGGAAAAGGAAATATTGTAATACAATATGAAAGATATTGGGGACCTTAGAAAAGATAACAAAATAAATACACAACAAAATGAAGAAAACAAGCATTTTATTAAAGCATAAGAAAAGCATCTGATCATAGCAACGTAGATATGTTTATTTGTATTTATAAACCAGAGAGAAAGAAGGCGGAGCCTCCGCACACAGCTACCTATTACCTAAACTGTCACGTACCAATGGTTGTACAAATGTCTATTAGTGCAAAAGTTCGCCACCAGCCGTGGCAAACTTTTCCGAACTTTTTTTTTTTTTTTTTTTTTTTTTTTTTGCTTAAAGTATTTCGGGGCTTAACTTTTCAGAATAAAGGAAAGACCTGGTGCAATGCTGGTAAGATTAATTGCTACCCCTTTAAATTGGTGCTAGTGATTCTAAATCTTAGAATTGGCAGAACAATTTCAATATACAATATATTGGCATTCGTTTCAAACCAGGTCCCTGTATGGGAAACTATATGCGGTATAAACTATTCCATAAAAATGCAGAATTGGGCAAAATACTGTTATTTATTTTTCTATTTTTTTATTATTTCAAAAAACTGTATTTGATCTTTAACTGCATACATGTGTCTAATTATGTGATATAACACTGCAGAGTATAACATACTTTGTTATCTGTTGAGGTTTAAGTTGTATCATCTGCATTCATGGAACCTGTTTTTTCATCATTTGTTTTATTGTATAAAAGAATCACACTAATATAGACCATTTTGCAAGATGTAAACAACACGGGTCCAGAAGCACTTCCTGTTTCAGTTTTTTTACACTACATAAAAGCTGGGATAAAATACAACCAACAGAACATGTAAAACTGAATCAAAAAGTGAAATGCCATCTTTAAGATATTTTCTTTACATGTGAAATAAAGAAAACAGTTACAAACTGAAACAGGAAGTATTTCTGGACCAGTGTTGTTTACATCTAGCAAAATGGTCTATAGAAAAGAGCATTTGAACATCCCATTGTATAAAATGTCTATACAATTGAGTGAGGCGATGTTTGCCTCATATTCCCTGTGCGTCAGGCATTGGAGACAGAATGCAGACAGCATTTGGTGGTTTCAGAGCTACATTTATTGGTAACCAGACCCACAGACATCAATGTGTTTCTGGAACAAACCTAACCAGAACACTTCTATCATTTAGAATTAGCAGTCTTTTTATATAACTAATGTGTACGTGCAAGCACCTTAAACGCTTGTCCTATCAATTATCTTAATGTTGTCATAATTCAAAAATAGATGGACAAAAAATGTCTAGGTTTTTCAGAAGTTAAGCATTGAGATTACGGCGACAGGTTCAGTAGCAGTGGCTTAGTTTTAGCTGACTGATCTGCATACTGTCGTTGTTAAGGATTAAATATCGTTGGACTCCTGAGTGAGCGTAAACTGTTGGTACGTCCCCTGTTTTACCCTTGAAATCCTGTTGACATAATGGTTCTCTCTCGTTGTGTGTGTAGATTTTCCCATGGGACTGAGCGGCAGAATTTCAGAGGTGTGGAAATGTTCAGAAAGAGACCTCCCCCAGGTAAACAATTAGCTACTCTCCCTAAACGCACACTTTTAAATTTAATTACCATTTTGTACTCTGAATTTAAATAGACACATACTCAAGGGCTCTCAATCTTCAAATCAGCTTCACTTCACTCTCATGGCACTTTGGAACTATTTAACGTTTCATTGAATTGTTGAGCAATTCGTATGAATTCGTACAACTTCATTTGTACACTTTCGGACAATAAATGTTTTTTTACAAAAACAATCAGCGCATGCATCTCCAATTTATGGTAAGAGGCGTGACCTTTTCAGGTAACGTGTGATAAGCTACTGTCGAATCACAACACAGGAACCGCTGGCACAACCAGAACTCGTTACGTATTTCTGACAGAGGGACTTCATAGAACTTGAAAGTTATCGGCCATGTTTTGTAGAGTGAAAACAGCGGTATACGGATAATTAAATTGTGTGAAAAATACTGTTTGTTTACACGCAAAACATGAGCACACGTTGTTTTGCACAATGTAAACACAACCAAAGCTTAAAAAAACAAAACATGAAGGTCGGGACCTTAAAATATATACATGAGCACATGTTGTTTTGCACAATGTAAACACAACCAAACCTTTAAATATACAACCATGTTGCGTTAAAATGCAAGCAGGGTTAATGCAATGCATATTTTTTTTTCAATTAGTGCAATTCAACAAGCTTTTTTGTTTCAAAAACATTTGTCATTATTTTACTTCCATAGTTTACTGCATTCACTGACACAGATGAAAATGAAAAGACTAACAGTCAAATCTCAGCTTTAGGAGGGGAAGAGACAGGGCAAGATAAGGAGACTGAGAAAAAATGTGATGGAGATGAGGAGAGAGCAGGTATTGACAAATAATCTACTGCCTACTGACATGGTTTTAAAGCTATTGTTATGAAATTGTGTGCCCTTCAAACGTCTTAAAATGCACAAATGTAAATCAGAGAAATCAAATTTTTCTAATTTCTCAGGGTGCATGTCCTTGTACCCCCCTAACTAGCTCAAATGTGGCACCTCTGTGATTATAAAACCCTGCCTACAGCCCTGCATGAATGTGATATTGCTCCAAAGCTTGGAACTTGTTTTTACTGTGGTGCAGCGCAACATCAAAAGTTAAATACGTACACGTGAGTTGGGAGGGTTCCTTCCTTGGCACGAGACTCCCCCTCTCTCCACACACTCTGAGATACATACAGGCATAGCACGTGCACAGACACCTGACTGGTCCAGATGTCTTCCGCAGTGCCACCGCTTCTTACCCCCTCTTTGCCCTGATATGCCACTGCCTATTTATCTGAAGCCATTTTGGCTCTGAATCTGATTACTAAATGGATATTTCTTTGCCAGAGGAGCCAATTATATGCTCTGGCTCCTCGTGTTTTACATCTCTCACAGATCTGCAGTGTAAGTTGCCTCGGCAACCTCATCAGCCAGTTCGTATTGGTCACATCATTGGCCAATAGAATGGCTTTCTGATTATGTCATATAAAAACAACGTCGTAGTTCTAGTGGTGCCTGTGTTTTGACATGGTCCGGTGAGAGTGTTATTATGTCGTCGTCAGCGTCAGCCCAGTCAAAAATCGATATTTTAGAGGATTTTAGTTGTTTGTCAATTAATGTTTGCTTATTTAGGAGTTTAAAGGCATTTTAATATATTAGACTATACCATTTAATTAAAGAAAAATACAAGCCAAGCATATCTGAAACACAGAAAGTTACTCAAATTGGCTATAATAGCAGTCGTATATTATTCGTTTTGAGAAAGTGTAATCGATTTTGGTTCACATCGAATGACCTCAACGACGACTCTGCGGCAAATCAAAAGGGAGAGGGAGCGAGCTGTAATTTCCCGCCGCGTCTGTAATTTGATGTGTTCCACTCCACTCTTCATTCGGCGCCGGTCTGCAGCTACCGCGCGCGCGTTTCTCTGTCGCTCCGCTGGTGTGAAGTCCTCTCTCTGTGTGCGCACACTGCGCAGAGCTATGTAAATGAAACAACGGTGGGACAACATGACTATCCCGAAAGACATCCCAGAGAAGTGGTTTCCAATCATTCTCCCTCTAAAAAGGAAGAAAGAGGGATTAACCAACACGACAAAAATAAGAAACGGAGCAGGTACCTTTCCTTTGCGTTGTCATTTCTTTACCACGGATCTACGTCTTGTTGTTGTTGTTTTTTTATTATTATTCTAAATATATAACATTATATTCATAGTGAAATAGAGGATATTTAAACTTTAAATCAATAATTTAAAATGTATCTTTATTCTTATTTTTTAAATCAATGTTTCATCGTCTTTGAACACTTCCTTGTCATGTAAATAAACAAAACGTAGTTCTCCCATATGTGTGTTTATTCATTCATTATTCCATACTAATGATTGTCTCACAGAATCAAGCCAGTATCCATATCCAGCCCTCGCTTGTGTATGTTTGTGTGCATATGTCCCATAATGACCTTGTGATCATATCCATCATGCTTTCACCTGTCAACACTCACAAATCAATACTCACGACATATCTCAGTATACTGCATCACATCTCCATTCATTTTAAATGTAAATAGTGTTAGTTATCAAGTGTTATTAAGGTGATTGCATAATTTCTACATTGAAAGTTAATGTCTCAAGCTAAGTTGGTAAAAAAAAAACTTAATTTAGGGTTTGACATTAAGGTTTTTAGTCTTGACTTCAATTAATCAATTCTGTAATGTTATAAGTTAAAGGGAACAATGACATGAGGCAGTTTAACAGAGATTTAACATTATCCTTTACTGTGTTGGGTTTTTTTTTTTTAATTTTTTGGATATATCAGTTTACTTCAGACATTCAGTTTGACAACATTTAAGTTAAAGTTAGAGGTTAAACTTAACTGTGCACGGCTTTTCAAACACTACTCTGTCCATGCACTAGACACACATCCTTGAAAGAGTGCAGATTTTTTATGTATTTACTTTGACTTCTTTGGGAATGTCAATAGTATGACCCATTTCAGAAGCTTCCAAAATTACAACAACAGTGGTTATATATATATATACTGTATATATATATATATATCAAAATAATTCCTAAGGACAATTCAGTGTCGCTGAATATTGGGACATGTTCCCAGCATCCCTACTAAATTCTATGCCCTTGACTGACTTGAATCTTTCACATCTACATTTTTCCCATGCCTCATCATAGCAGTTTATTTTACAGAATGTTAAATGAGTATGTAAACTGCTCATCAACATGCTGTCTGATGTTTTATATATATGTATGTTTGCCCGTTTAAATGTAATTTATGTAATTAACACAGCCAGCAACATTTTCACTTTCATGATTTGTTGTTGCAACACATGTAGTTTATATTTTTTACTAAAGGTAGTAATTGTTAGAAATGTTTTTGTACACTTTTGTTAGTGAAATGAAGTAGGCCTTGTGTGGGGATTTTAAGTTCATCTTGATGTGTTCTGATTATCAGTCACTACTAGACAGAAAGCACCATTTGAAAATGCCCAGAATGACTCATATGGACAACAGGTACTAGACCAGCAGCTTCATTTCAAATCAAGAGGCGGCTCACAAAATCAGCTTGGTGTCAACTTTTATATAATCCATATGTGATTAGACATTGTGTTTATTGTGTTTTCAATTATTTAAAGGAACTAAACTTAAGTTGACCTTTAAGGCCATTAGGCCAATAAATATCCAGTAGTCAAGCCAAAGCTGCACGAAGAAATGTCTTGTCGTGGAATAGTCAATGTCATAGTAATTCCAGTAACTGTTCCTGGCCTATTCAGGTTGATTTCTTAACACTGGGTTTGTTAAGTGAATATCTCCCATCAGTCTATTCTGTCACAGCAGTGATCATGTCCAGCATGACTATCATATCCCTGATCATTTAACATTGCCATGATCATCATTACTTCCCAGTAGAGTTACAATTTAAAGGTTTAAGGGAGATAAGTGTCTTTTTGTCATCAATTTATGCCATCAAAATGGATGTAGCTGCTGTATTTTATATGGCGGTATAAGTGACCTCTGCTCTGAATGAATTGCATATTTACTACAATGTGAAATATTCTGGTGAATAAAGGGCTTAAAGGGGGAATTCACAACTAGCCAGATTGGCTTTCAATAAAACTTGGCTATCTATGCATTTTAAATGTGAAAAATTGGGGTTATAAGGGTTGTGGCATCCTCTGTTATTTCGACAAAATGCGGAATTTCATACAAAAGTCCTGGAAGTGGAAAGTCTGCCAGATGACGCAAAATTAACCCCCCATATACTGCAACGTTAATGGCACTTTTAAGGCCCAGAAAGGTAGTAAAGACATTGGTTAAAATAGTCCATGTGACTACAGTGGTTCAACCTTAATGTTATGAAGCGAAGAGAATACTTATTGTGCAAAAAATACGTAAAAAATAAGCCTTTTAACAATTACAATTTCTTCTGTTCCCTGTTAATCTCTGATGTTGTTCAAATTGTATTGTAAACACAGTGCAGTGCTTTGGGTTCTACGTCAGAACACAGTATTGGCCGGCCCCTGCGTCAACATCACACATGAACAAGAAATTGTAGAATAAAGTAGTTATTTTTGTTTTGTTTAGTGCACAAAAAGTATTCTCATTGCTTCATAACGTTAAGGTTGAACCACTGTAGTCACATGGACTATTTTAACGATGTCTTTACTCTCTCGGATTTCATCAAAAATATCTTTGTGTTCTGAAGATGGCCGACGGTCTTACAGGTTTGGAACGACATGAGGGTGAGTAATTAATGACTGAAAATTAAAATATTTGGGTGAACTAACCCTTTAAGCCTGACCTCATGTGAACCCCTTGTAATTCCTTTACTCTGAGAGTCTGCTAGCATACTCATAGACGGTCATGTCGGTGGTTTGGTTGAACTGATTTGGTCAATGCAGCTAAGGTGAAGGAATAGGTTGGTGGATGATGGAGGGTGTTTTCTGGATGGATAGATGAGTCAGCCAGCTGGACATATGATGGCACGTGGCAAAGAAGGAGTTGGGAAATGGGAGCAGACTGCAAGAGAGTGGTAAAATCAAGCAAGTGATGCATAGACACTGAGATGAATAGAAAGTTCATGAGAAGGTCATGTGCATGTTTTATCAGATGAACAAATGCCTTATGATGGCTCAGCAAATGTTTTGGCATTAGTGTGCAGCATAGTAAACTTCCCCTCACCATACAAAACAGAAGGACCCCCAACTTCTACAGTCTTCTAAGGAAGACTGAATAATGTGTTGTAAATTAAGAGAATACAAACAACTCTAGGCAAGTGCAACCATTTACATGAATGCATTAGTGAGTATTTTGCCTCTGTTAAGGATTCATGTATCATTCCTCTGCTGTGTGTGCAAAGAGGTTGGAGTACAGTAGCAATTAGCTCACCCACTATGAGGCTAATTTGAGCCTGTGGCTTGTCTTTTTTGGTGTTAAATAAGATGAATGCTTTAAAATATTGGAGACAACAAGCACTTTAATTGTCCTTTAGTGCTACTTTGGCATGTTGATTAAATGTGTGCTGTTTTTGAGACCTGACCGAAAGATTCCCTTTTATTGCGTTCTTTTAATGCAGCCTTGGTGGGCATAAGAGATTTAAAAAACATAAAACATTTTAGAAGTAATCCAAACTTTTTACTGGTAGTGTGAGTGTGTATGCAGTAAAGCAGTTTGTGAAAATAATAAGAACAAACGATTATGCCAAAATAAAACTTAATTTTAATTTTTTGGGGTTAAAAATGATCCAAAATAGAGTACATATTTGAGAAAATACAACCAGCCAGTGTTCAAAACTATCTGCTTGCCTTAGCTCGATTCAAAGCGGTAAGCTTGTAATAATGTTTTTAATTCCACTGGCACTGGTGGATTTCTGCTGGAAATTCGAGCATGTCTTTGCATCATTACGTCACATCTGTACACATAAAGAATTAGTCTTGTCTAGTATAAGCTATATTGCGTGTGAGGATGTTGGAGGTGGAGATTTATAGCCTTTTCTCATAGCACTTGATATAATTAAACTTATCAAGTTGATGGTGGATCCAGAAAGTTTAAACGACAATAAACAGATTCACCCGCTGTAAAATGCAAAAGATTTTGTTTGGACTTTGGAGTAGCTACACAAGAAGAGACTGCAACTGGCCCTATGCGAAAACAAGGATACATTTTGGAAGAACATTACATAGTCACGCAATGCTGACGTTTTTAATATTAACAATTTGAGAACAAAGTATAATTTGCACGGTGATATGATAAGCGATTGTTAGATTTAATCTGCGCAATTTACTGCAATGTCAAAACCAGAACAAAAGTGGATGTTTCGAAAATTCTTATGTTGGTCTGGTCATACTTGCAAAAGTTTTTTAAGAAATTAAAACTACATTAAAAAAATATGGTTATCATAGATAATGAATTCAACATGTATTTAATGTTTGCTTCTTTTTTTAAATAAACTAATAAAAGATACTGTTAAAAATAAGTATCATGTCAATCACAGTGTCAATGAAGCTTTCCATGACTTTCAGAATAGTCTATGCTTTCACAAGACATGTTCTGCAACATTGCACATCCATAACTTGCTGGTCTGTTTGATTTTGCACAGATTTATGAGCTAGCGTAACGGATGTCCTTGGCAGTAGTGCTGAATCACAGCAATGACTGCTCCTTCTCTGTCAATGACTGTTTTTTTGTTTTTTGTTTTTTTTAGAAACATCACACAAGCAGCGCTTCACTGCGTCTTTTGCTTGTCCTTGGCTGTATTAGTAAGGGTGCTGTGTTAAAAGTGCTTAATGGCCCAGTTTGCTGAGGTGCTGTCCGGATGGAACAGGACCCTCCGACAGCCAGAGCCATTATGTCATCGGCAGCCAATAGGCAATGCACTCCCAGACTCTGGCGACAGCGGTGTGGTTTTCCATTAGGACTGATAACAGAGAGGTGGAGAGTACAACAGATAGCCACGAGCAAGGGAAAAGAAAGATGTGACCTTGAGGAAGAGGGGAGAAAGTGAAAGGATAGGGGATGGGAAAGGAAGAAGATAGTGCACGGACAGCTGAGAGGACAGATACAGATTTTCTTCTTTCAATTTAAAATAAAGGCAGAATGTTGTCAA